TGTCAGGGCAGGGAGCTCACTGCCGGTATTCCAGCCTGGAAAGGAGAGTTTCCCATGGGATGGGGTGAGCGTGTCGGGTCTGAGCCGCTGTCTTGTTCCCAGCAGGATGCTGTGATCGAGCAGGAACACAGAGATAAAGCACTGCGCATACCACATATACGTGCCCCTCGCCCGTGTATAGCGTGATGCCCGGCAGCGTGGTACCAAGGGGAGCTTTAGTGCCCCGTTGCTCCTCTCCCCATCGCGGCTGCAGACGCACGTGATGCTCAACACCGGGAACGGGATCAGAGATTCTGCGTGGCATCGGGCTGCCCTGATGTTTGCGTCCTTGCATCCGTCTGTCTGTGTGTCCGTCTGCTGGGACTGGCAGCGCGTCGGGACGGGGATCAAAGCCCTGTAACCACCCGCGCCCGGTGCAGAAAGCAGCAGCCTAAGGAGCAAAACCAGAGCGGCCTCATCCTTCGGATCTGGAGGGATTTGGGGGCAGTTTCCCCCTCCGTCATCCAGCAGCAGCTTCTTCCTTCTCTCTTCCTCCTGGGAGACTGGGAGTCCAGTGCCGCGCAGAGGCTGCGCCACCGTGCCGGGTTGCGTGCAAAGTATTAATTGTTATTGTTGCAACAACCGCTCTGTTTCTCGGGAGATGCCTGAAAGAGCTGAGAAAACAGAAAGGCCTGTCAGACAGCCGGGCAGGAGGTTAAGATGTCAAGAGAGTAATTGCTCTACCCAGAACTTCCCCAGCACTGCCAGGAAAAATCCTCAGTGCTTATTCGATGACAATAAAAAAAAAAAAAAAAAAAAAAAAAAAAAAAAAAAAAAAAAAAAAAAAAAAAAAAAAAAAAAAAAAAAAAAAAAAAAAAAAAAAAAAAAAAAAAAAAAAAAAAAAAAAAAAAAAAAAAAAAAAAAAAAAAAAAAAAAAAAAAAAAAAAAAAAAAAAAAAAAAAAAAAAAAAAAAAAAAAAAAAAAAAAAAAAAAAAAAAAAAAAAAAAAAAAAAAAAAAAAAAAAAAAAAAAAAAAAAAAAAAAAAAAAAAAAAAAAAAAAAAAAAAAAAAAAAAAAAAAAAAAAAAAAAAAAAAAAAAAAAAAAAAAAAAAAAAAAAAAAAAAAAAAAAAAAAAAAAAAAAAAAAAAAAAAAAAAAAAAAAAAAAAAAAAAAAAAAAAAAAAAAAAAAAAAAAAAAAAAAAAAAAAAAAAAAAAAAAAAAAAAAAAAAAAAAAAAAAAAAAAAAAAAAAAAAAAAAAAAAAAAAAAAAAAAAAAAAAAAAAAAAAAAAAAAAAAAAAAAAAAAAAAAAAAAAAAAAAAAAAAAAAAAAAAAAAAAAAAAAAAAAAAAAAAAAAAAAAAAAAAAAAAAAAAAAAAAAAAAAAAAAAAAAAAAAAAAAAAAAAAAAAAAAAAAAAAAAAAAAAAAAAAAAAAAAAAAAAAAAAAAAAAAAAAAAAAAAAAAAAAAAAAAAAAAAAAAAAAAAAAAAAAAAAAAAAAAAAAAAAAAAAAAAAAAAAAAAAAAAAAAAAAAAAAAAAAAAAAAAAAAAAAAAAAAAAAAAAAAAAAAAAAAAAAAAAAAAAAAAAAAAAAAAAAAAAAAAAAAAAAAAAAAAAAAAAAAAAAAAAAAAAAAAAAAAAAAAAAAAAAAAAAAAAAAAAAAAAAAAAAAAAAAAAAAAAAAAAAAAAAAAAAAAAAAAAAAAAAAAAAAAAAAAAAAAAAAAAAAAAAAAAAAAAAAAAAAAAAAAAAAAAAAAAAAAAAAAAAAAAAAAAAAAAAAAAAAAAAAAAAAAAAAAAAAAAAAAAAAAAAAAAAAAAAAAAAAAAAAAAAAAAAAAAAAAAAAAAAAAAAAAAAAAAAAAAAAAAAAAAAAAAAAAAAAAAAAAAAAAAAAAAAAAAAAAAAAAAAAAAAAAAAAAAAAAAAAAAAAAAAAAAAAAAAAAAAAAAAAAAAAAAAAAAAAAAAAAAAAAAAAAAAAATAAATAGCAACCTCATCCCTTGCCCGTGCTGACGAGGAATGGGGAGAGCAGAGGCAGATGCAAAATAAGACGCAGTTGGGCTTATAAATAGGTGCCTCCCAGCTCCCAGTCTGTTACTTCGTTACCTCCGCCCGGGCAATCGATCCTTACGCTTTTCATAGAATCATAGAATCATAGAATCATTAAGGTTGGAAAAAGACCTCTAAGATCATCGAGTCCAACCGTCGACCCAA